CCCCAACGGCAACCCAATGCACCGGAGAGCGCGCGGGGCCAAAATCCGCCACGTCGGTCATTGAATATTTCAGCGCTAAATACAAGCCACTTCGAGGAACACTGCACCTACGTCATCGTACCCCCCCCCCCCCCCCCCCGCACCGCCCCGGCTGCCGATACGCGATCACTATATCGGGGCTGACTTCAGGTAGATTTGGGTGTTCCGTTATACTATTTACATCTAACTGTTTAGCTGTTTTTGCTTATGAGGTGCTGCTGTTAATCAAATAATAATAATAGATAACAGAAGTACTACTACTAGTACCGGTACTATCATCATTACTTTTATCATCACGGTTATCATTATCATTATCACTATTGTTTTTTCATGACAGCATTCGAACATTACTACATACCATTACATTACCAAAATGGGATTTAGAGGCGTGGTCCCTAATGAACCCCAGGTACCAAGTCGTTATTCTTTACATCATTAAAATAACCATGTTTATCATCGTCATCATCATCATCAAAGCTACATTACCACTTTATCATCATCATTATCTGATAACTTCCTATGCATCCATATATGTAATACTATACCAACATACCGCATGGTCACCATACATAGACTTTTGTTAATTTATTAACCGTTTGAGGAAAGAGTTTTTGGCATTCCTTAAATATATCAAATGACTTGACGCATTAATGTATGCCATAATCTACTGCGCATTAATCCGTTCTCATCTAGGCATTCACAACTGTCTGTATTTCATCATTCAACGGTGTTCTTTCTGCAATACTCAATGCAGGATATTCCTCTATTCCTCAATATACTGACCTATTAATTTATTCATACATTTGTTCACTTGCGCACACATTTTTACCAGCCAGTATGTATCTTGAAAGTTAACGAGGCATTCCCCAATATCCAAGATTCTTCAACCAAATAAAACAGAAAATGATGATAATAAATGCCAACGTCCTAATCCTCCACTCGTAAAAATAACGACACGGAAATCAACAACAGCAATACCGCAATCACAAGAGCAATCAATGAGAAAAACACTAACAGAAATAAAAAAAAAATACACGAAATAAAACGAAATACAACACGGATAAAGACGGCCTCCAATCCGGCACACGAAATCTAATAGCCAGCGTTCGGGACAGTGATTGGATGGCAACTTTGCAAAAAAAAAATCCAACCGAAGACAAAAAGAATATTCAAAAATCCGAACTGCGTCATTTTCCACATGTTATCGGTTTAATAATGATGCCCGTGACACAACGCCTAAACGCACGCAAAAGCTGGACATTATACGCGGCCGGGAAAATCCTTTGCATAAAACGCTACTGAGTCTCATTCCCGTATTTTTCTCTCTTTCTCTTTCTTTTTTTCTTTCTCTCTTGCTCTCTTTATCTTTCTCTCTCTCTCTCTTTATCTTTCTATTTTTCTCTATCTTTATCTCTTACCTTTTGTCTTTCTCACTTTCTTTTTCTTTCTCTCTTCCCCTTTCTCTTTTTCTCTCTCTCTCTCCTTCCCTTTATATTTTTTCTCTTTCGCTTTTTATCTTTATTTTTCTTTCTTTCTCTTTCACTCGCCATTTTACCTTTGTACCTCTGCTTCATTTAAACCTTTCCTTAAAATTATTTTTTCTCCCTCTCTTTGTCTATATGTACCCACACACACACACGAACACCCACGCATACATGCAAAATTTACACACTCATGAACGTGTATGTTTAAGCTTAGACTTTTTTTCCCTTTTTTTTTTGCTTCTGACTCATGCTGCCATTTACTCTCCTCCCTCCTTCCTCAGTCTCCCCACCTTCCCAATCTCCCCAGCTCTCCTACCCACCTGTCCTCCTCCTTGCTGCCTCTCCTCCTCTCTTTCCCTCCTTCTTCCTATTCCCTTCCCTCCCTCCCTCCACTCCCCCTCCTTCCTTCCCTCCCATCCACCACGCACGCACGCACTTCCTCCCCCCCCCACTCCCTCTCTCCCTCCTCCCTCTATCTCCCTCTGCAAACTTCTTCGCAAATCGCCAACTCCGTCATCATTTCCGTCAGCGCAGTTTTGAAGACATTCAATATTACGAGTGTTTCGCTCTGAGTCAACACCGGATTCGCTCGCTACTCTGCCTATGTTGCCATGACAACCCTCCTGCAACAACAAACACAATCTATTGCCGATGCATAATCAGAAACCGTCACGATGAAATGGCTCTTATTCGAGGGCTAAGAGGACTAAAAGCAATAAATCATATCAAATTACCCACACACGCACGCACACACATACACACACACACACACACACACACACACACACACACACACACACACACACACACACACACACACACACACACACACACACACACACACACACACACACACACACGCACACGCACACGCACACGCACACGCACACACACATACACACACCAGCACACTCTTGAGGCATGCCAGCAAGTGTAAACATGCCGCTACATGCTGCATACCCCAACATACGCTCTCT